AGTTGCTTGAAAGCGTCTTTTCCTCAGATCCTAGTTTCCTAATTTAGCGACAGGAAAAGGTTACATGAGTGGAAATTGAGCACAATAATCGCGTCAGATGAAATGCCTTCTGACAAGTTCAATCAAAAGTGACGTGGATTATCTTTGCAAAGGCAAAAGTTTGGATCGAGCTACGTGATTCCATGAGAAAGTGAATAAAAGCTGAACTTCTTTGTTTTCTTCTTATGTTGGGGACAAGAGTGGTACTTATAAAGTAATTCATCAAAGTACCGTATTTTCCGCACTATAAGGCGCTTGGTAGTACTGTATAAGGTGCAACTTTAATGAATGGCCGATTTTTAAACTGTTTTCAAATATACGGCGCACCGCAGTATAAGGCGCATAGAATAGAAGCTACAATCGTGGCTGTGGTTGCGTTATGCATCAACTAGATGGAGCTACGCTAAAGGGAATACAATACAACACAATACAATACAGCTTGATTTCTCGAGAGCTTTCGCAACCGCGGCAACAGAGCGCTTTGCAGAACATTTAAAATACGACATCGGAGAAATCAGAATACAGTGATGCCTCGCTATTTCGCGGTTCGTTTATTGCGGCTTCAGTGCATCGCGGATTTTTTCAAACATATTCATAAAAAAAAAATATATATATATTTTTTTTTAATGTTTATTGGTCGCTACTTCGCGGATTTTCGTTTATCGCAGGTGGTTTTGGTCCCCATGAACCGCGATAAACGAGGGATTACTGTATTGATCCGATCAATAGCAATACCATACAAAGCAAAGAATGTCCGGAGAAGGTAGGCTGGCAATGCTGAGCCGTAACGTTTCAGGACAACTGAAATGGTGTCTTTGCAGGTTTTCAGCAATCACCTTCCAACATGTGTCATGTATTCCGAAGCAAATCTCTGAATTCACACCTTACAGAATCTGCAGGCTGTAGCATGGCGTCTCGCCATCTTATGCTTCCTTGCGCTTTCTTCTCTCCTCCGCTGCCTGGAAGGTTTGACTTCAAAGCAGCTTGATCCCCCCACCCCAGGTTAAGCAGTCGTCGTCTCGCTGCATTACTCTCTCCTCTGCGAAACCTCTCCCAATCGTGTCATGAATGGGAGGATTACAAACCCCGCCACCCGGTTTAAACCCGAACGTCTTCTTTCAGGCCATGCCTCTGCGCGCGTTGTCCGCACTTACAGTGACGTTTTTGCTTGATCTCAAATTTTGATCGATTTCAATTTTAGGCTGTGTTTGAAAGCAATTTAAGCATGACGGATTTCAGTATCAATGTCACTCTTACTGCCGAAATATTCCGAATCAAGATACGGCCAAATTGTATTTCCAAAATGTTCATTTCGCAGGCAAATGTTTTCACCACAGTTATTAATCCAAAGCAGGGGGGCCCAAATCCGGCCCTCGAGAGCCCCCATCCAGCCTATTTTACATGTCGCCTTACTCCAACACACCCGATTCAAATGATCAGCTCTATAAAAGAGGCTGGTTAGTGGCTTTCGAATGACCGGACTTTTGCAACTCCGATCAAAAGTGATGACCGCAGCAAACTCTGTGGGTGTAACTGTAATAAAGGCTGCGGGGGCTTCCCAGTGAATTAGAAACCACAGCTGGCCGGCTGTTCGCCATGGCAACAGATTAGCAGTTGTAAAAGTTTCTTTCTGTGTCTATATTCAGCTCTCTTACTTTTAATTTAATCTGAAGGAGCGCCATTTCCATCCTCTCGCTGCTTACTCCTGTCAATCAAGCTCTCTTAGAGCTCGGACATAACAGACATGAGCGGATTAATTATTCCTGTCACTTGTCGTCTCCGCCACCCGCCTCCTCCTTGCCGCTAAATTACATTATCGAGAGGTATCTATCGCGGCAACGTTTTTTTTTTTCCTGTTGGGTTTTCTCTTCACTCGATGACTGGTCCGCTGCCTCGGTGTGTCTCGCGCGTCCACCCACCATGTTTCCTCACCCCGCTATCGAGTCTCCCAGCGGCGCTAATCTCCATCCTTCTGTCGCGCTAACAACAACTTCTTTCACGCAGCGATCCCGCAAGAATTGCAACATCGGAGTTGTAACGGAAGATACGGTACACCTGCTGCCTTATTCTTAATTGTTAAGGCACCGGAAGTATCCTCAAAAGCGCCACCTTGACTTCATCAACCTCACACACCTGTCCCAGAATTTCAGAATAATCTGATACTGCTTTCGAAGACAAAAAAACAATAAAAACTGCCGGGTCGACTTTGTCCGACTGACATGCAGCAAAATGTTTGCAAACTTCGCACCTTGGTCCTGATATTATCGAAGTTGCTGAAACAGAGGTGTCACCCCACCTCTGTTCCAGCTCTGCCACTACCTCCGAAGATTCCACACGGTGCCCCAGAACTGTGAAAATCATTCAAAGAAGAAAAATTCATTTCTACCCCAAAGTCCATCAAGGAGTTTCTGACAGAAAAGAATAATTTTATATATATATATGTATTTTTTAATCTGTTTTCTTCGTTTTTGAGCGACGTTGCCCTCTAATTAATTCCAGTCGATTGCCGCTCTCGGATAAATGTCACACCTGTTACGTAATTCAGGAAACACCAGCGCTCATTTAAGAACATGGCAGAAAAAAAATAAGCCACTGTCGGCATGGTAACAAGCATCAGGGGCAACCCCTGGCGTAACTTATGCTAAAAAGGCCAAGGGGGGGTGCCACGA